CACAGCTATAGACGGGTATTGCTCTGCGACCTACAATTAGGTTGTCCCGAAAATTTGTGACATTTTCGAACTTTTTTTTTCGAGTCAAGTTTACTTTTTAAAATGCTCTCCTCTTCACCTAGAAGGGCTCACCAATGAGGGAAACAAAACGTCCGGCTGCCTTCCCCCACATGATTTTTGAGAGTGACAAGCACTACCATAGGATTTTTCAATCGAAAGATAGATGGGAGCAAAAATATTGCTACTGATGGATAATATAGGGTGACATTGCACACATGAATAATATCCTTGGGCCCACCTTCATTGAAAATTCAAGACGTGCGTATTCCATATAGTTTAGCTCCAATGCGTCCATGATGAGTTCTGTCATACCATCGAAAGCCAGTGTGCTTGGCCAGAGTGCAACTCGGGAGATCACGCCCCAATTCATGAATACCAAAGTATTGGCCAAAATAGCTATAGAAAAACCTCTCGGCGTCAAGTAGTTCTGGAAGGTTGTACTCCTGAAGCAAACACTGTTTATACTTCCCATTAGCCCAGATATTCTGAGTTTTTTTGCTACTGTGAACACAAGGCACGTTTCGCTATAATCTATAAGAATTAAGGCTCTCTGTGGTGAACTAATAGCATGAACCGCAAACCCTGAACAAGATGACCTCAAGACGTCGTGAGATAAGGGCGTTGAATAGCGATGCCAGTCAGGTGGCTCCGCCCTCTTTACTGAGCCGTGTCTGTCATTCCCTCGCTCTAGCTGCTTTTGTGTAGCCCCTCCCTGAAATCCCCACCGAATTTTTGCTTCTCGCTTGGAAGAAATGTGCTCTTTTGGCTGACGTTTCCCGCGGTTTCCTCTGTTTTTTTTCTATACACGGAAAGGTTGTGTAGCATACGAATTTCTGCTTTTTATCCCTGCTATCTACAGAGTTTTCGGCGTTTAAATCACCCTTTGACTGCGCAGTAGCGTCGACTGCACTTACTTGCATAGCTGCAAATATCGATAAACAAAGCTGTTGGTAACAATCAGAAGAGATGTGATGTAAGCCGAGCAGAATAGTAGCATCAGTGGTTGGCCGATAAGAGGTTTGTTGAGTGGCCCAGTGGCAAGATAAACCATGGAGTAATCTTGAGTGAAGTTTGTCTGCACAATGAGAAAATTACTTCTGTGAATACTACACTGTTTGATAAAGAAGGAACTCTTGGTGACGTCTACTTTAGGCTGCGTTTATACTTTGCGGCAGCGTAGCGTAGCGCTTCCAGCGTACGCCAGCGGCAGTGCCGGGGAGAGGATGGATATCGATCTAGCGTTCCCAGCGTCACGCTAGCGTACGCCAGCGTTTCTCCAGCGTTTCACCAGCGTTTTGCTGGCGTTTGCAGCGGCAGGGGAGTAGAGACTATGTGGCCGTAAGAGACGCGCAATCGATGTGTATTGTAGAGACTATGTGGCCGTCAGAGACGCGGAATCGATGTGTATTGTAGAGACTGAGGGCGAGTGAGAGACGCGCAATCGATGTGTTTTGTACCCTCCAGCTCTCCCATAGTCTCTACTCCCCTGCCTGCAAACACAAAAGCAGCTTTTGGTGACGCTCGCGAACGCTAGATCGATATGCATCCTCTCCCCGACACGCTGCCGCAAAGTATAAACGCAGCCATTCTCGAGTGATAATAATTCGTGGGTTTGAAACATACTCACGCACCTCCATGGACCCTGGTCCTCTCCGTGCTGGCGACTTAGTCGGCAGCTGCAACTACGTGCTAGCCTCTTCGGTCGAAAGTGCGCGGAGCGGAACCAGAGGGTAGCGAAATTAGGTGCAGTCTCTATACTACGCGCGCGCTGCCGCACGTCCGGCTAGAGTACAGCATCGTCGTGCGAAATCCATCGAGGGGGCGAGGGTCGCACATGGCTGCCAAGGAGGGGGAGGAGATCATAGACACACGGCTTTCACTTCTACTTGCTCTCTACCACTGATGTTTCGCATGTTTCGCTTCCGGACCTTGGTACTGACGCCAGTGCTGCACCTCTAGGACAGGGCGGGAGCAGTATGGAGACGGCGTCCGAGTACCACTACCCTACAGCCCCGCTCCCCTCCAGACTACTTCTGTGTGGAGAATGTGTCAGAACAGCTGCTGACCCATACACGTGGCAAGGACCGCACTCGAAAGTGAGTGTACAACTCGGTTTGTCTTGAAAAAACTCACCGGAAACAGAAGTATCAGACAGCCGGAGAAAATGATATCATAAATCGCAGTTAGCAGAAAGAAGTACTTATAAGTACTGATCATTTGCAGAGGGCAGTGAAAATAGACGCGAAGCAAAAAGCAGTTGACGACAAGAGACAGCGACGATATGATGCCACATGTCACGTAAGCTCCCACATTCATCTCACACTGAAATTATAATAGTATCTTCATTTTCAATTCGAGTGATTTGCCGCTAGACACTTCGAGTATAGAAAAATAAAAGAAAGTCTAGGGACTGATTACACCAGTACCGTGGAAGTCTAAGGCAAATTACGTCAAGTCAGAACAGCGATATCTTAGGTTGTCCCGTTTTCGTGGCTCCACACTGAAAGAGCAGGGTGCTGCGGTCATCACTAGGTGAAGGGACTAAGGCGCATCAATTCTGAGGATTCCCCACGGATGGAGTATTCTACTGGCTATCCTTGGGATGGTAACCAGCAAATCATCCGCTATCTAACGGCTCAAAGGTGCCAGCATCGCTCTAGAGAACGAACACTGCCGCCTATCAATTACTGGATCGGTTCCCACAGTTCCCAAGCCCACCATGTCTTCTTCCCCGTGGACCAGCAAGTTGGTTCCGGACATGTCCAGGATGACAAAAAAAGCTTATAAGGAAGTGAGACCTTTAACTTCGCCGCTCACTGGCCCACATAATAACGGCTAGTGGTCTCATCAAGTTGAACGTATTGAGTGGTGCAAGGCTATGGCACAAAACCCAGAGAGCTGAGAGAGAAAGAGACTGCTCGGGTGTAGGTTGCACGAGAGGTCACGGCTGCCATGTTTCGCCTCGCCGCGCGCGGCGATTGCTGCCGTGACTTGGACCCATACAGTCGTGCGATTAAGATCCCGGTCCCTTCACATAGTTCTGGCATCACGCAAATCTGCTTGGCATTTTGCCAAACCAGAATATTCAATGGGACGTCAATATTTTTGAATGGCAGCTGTATTTATTCAACGGATTGCTGTATTTCTTTAATACTACCTACTTTTCCCGTCTGGCCGCAAATCTTAGGCCTTTACAATACCTTACAATTGAGTGCAAAAGAAGGATTCACCCTAAAGTGAATTTTTGTAGATTGCTGATACATTCATATTATTTTGTAAATGGACGTTGTTTTATACTAATAGTTGAACATCGGGCCCACTCCTTTCATAGTTTTCACACCTGCAAGTAATAAAGCAGACTGTTGGAAATCTAATGGACTATGCAAACGCCGCGCACATAGCGAAAACATCGCGGGGCCCACCTCTCCTCCGCCGCGTCGCGGCGGCAGGCTGACCTCTCGTGGAGTCCTGACCGTTGCCCGTGGGTTTTTATTCCTGCATGGAAGGGGAGGGGTGGGGTCCAAGGCTTTTGCTCAGTGGTAACAACAGTGAG